CCCAAGAGGAGGCAGGAAGGAGGGAGGGAATGTCAGGCATGGGGCACAGCCAGTGCAGAAGAATGGAGATGAGAGATGGAGGGCTGAATTCAGGGAATTGAAAGTCGGTCAGGTTGGCGGTAAATGTAGGGTGAACGGCTCCTTTTCTGAGCTGTCACCTCCAAAGCCCTGGTGGTTCCAGGGTTCGAGACTCAAGTTGACTTCTTGGCTCTTGTGGCCAAGGTGAGGATGGCCAAGGTGGGTTCAGACTTCAATAGCAGCATCAGGGAGCTTTGGGGAAGAGAAAAAGGAGGAGCAGGAAGAGGAAAAAGAAGAGGAAGAGGAAGAAGAGAAGGAGGAAGAAGAGGAAGAGGGGAGGAGGAAGGGGAAAAGGAGGAAGAAGAGGAAGAGAAGGACAGAAGAGAAGGAGGAAGGAGAGGAAGAGGGGGAGGAGGAGGAGGCCAGGAGAAGGCCAGGGTTTCATGACTCTTTTCTCCTTGACCTGGCCTGACCACTTCTCACTCTCCCACAGTCAAAGCTTCGAGCCCTGATTAAAGGCAAGATAATTTACAACTCCACATTGTACAAATGGCATATCAAATTATCCAAGAACATCTGTTTTGGTATTATATGATTAAGTGTTCTTTCTGTGTTGCATAATGTGAATGAAAATTCTGTTGCCGTGTGTTTGTGAGACTGGCAAAACATTTGAACAGCTGTAAGTGTTTGGCAGCAGAGGACGCTGGTGGGTGCCAAAGGGAGGCAGGAGATGTTCCTGCCTCGTAAAAATAGATGGCATCTTCCCAACAAAAATAAGAGCAGCAAATGTACGTTTAATGAAGTGAAGGAGTCAGCTCAAGCCCAGTTATCGCTTCCCAGTCAGCATCGTCCAAAGCGAGTGTGTGTAACACGCGAGGAGCCAGCTGCCACTCAGGCAGCTGGATGACCATCCATCCAACTGCTGGGTAGTCCATGAGTCTGCAGGGCCCTGGGATGCTCCTGAACTATGCTCCTGAGGATGTCTGTTCCTGAGGACGTCTGCTCCAGCATCTTAGCACAAGAGCCGCAGGGTGGCAAGATGGTGAGTGTGGGATGGAAGGCTGAGGACAGGATCTTGGAGGGGTCAAGGGGCCTGGAAAAAGGGGCTTGGGAGTTGGCAGTGAAGATGACAGTTTTGGGATGACTGCATGTTGGGTATGTGATGGTGGGGATTCCTTTTGTGTATGGGAGCCTACAGGACCACTGAGGTACATCAAACTCTCAAATTCTGTGATTGGGAGGGTCATTGGTGCCCTCCCTCCCAAACTACTTTGGATGTAACCACGTTATATATATTTCTATATTATCTGTCTATCTGTCTATCTATCTATCCATCTATCTATCTATCATCTATCTATCTCCATCTATCTGTCTATCTATCTATCTATCTATCCATCTATCTATCTATCTATCTATCTATCAATCTATCAATCTATCTATCATCTATCTATCCATCTATCTATCTATCATCTATCTATCTATCTATCTATCTATCTATCTATCTATCTATCTATCTATCTATCTATCTATCTATCTATCATCTATCTATCTATCATCTATCTATCTATCTATCTATCTATCATCTATCTATCTATCTATCTATCATCTATCTATCCATCTATCTATCATCTATCTATCTATCACCTATATATCTATCTATCATCTATCTATCTATCTATCTATCTATCTATCTATCTATCTATCTATCTATCATCTATCTATCTATCTATCATCTATCTATCCATCTATCTATCTATCTATCATCTATCTATCTATCTATCTATCATCTATCTATCTATCTATCTACCTATCTATCTATCTATCATCTATCTATCTATATCATCTATCTATCTATCTATCTATCTATCTATCTATCTATCTATCCATCTACCTATCTATCATCTATCTATCCATCTATCTATCTATCTATCATCTATCTATCTATCTATCATCTATCTATCTATCTATCTATCATCTATCTATCTGTCATCTATCATCTATCTATCCATCTTTCTATCTATCTATCTATCTATCCATCTATCTATCATCTATCTATCCATCTATCTATCTATCTATCTATCATCTATCTATCTATCTATCTATCTATCTATCTATCTATCCATCTATCTATCATCTATCTATCTATCTATCTATCTATCATCTATCTATCTATCTATCTATCTATCTATCTATCTATCATCGATATATCTATCTATCCATCTATCTATCTATCTATCATCTATCTATCCATCTATCTATCTATCTCTATCATCTATCTATCTATCTATCTATCTATCTATCTATCTATCTATCTATCTATCTATCTATCTATCTATCTATCATCTATCTATCTATCTATCTATCTATCTATCCATCTATCTATCCATCTATCTATCCATCAATCATCTATCACCTATCTATCTATTTATCTATGAATCTGCCTGTCTAATTATCTATATATCTATATATAGATCTATATATATCCAATAAGTCCGTATTATATCTGCTTACATCTATCTATAATATCTGTGATATTTCTACATATATCTATCCATTATATCTATATTATGTATCTGCCTGTTATATATTATATATTGCAATAGGTTGTATTATTGTAATATATTACACATATGTATATGTACATATATAATGAATAACATTATATATAATATTGTGTATTATATTACATATTACAAATATTCACATATCTATATATAGATACATGATGGGTAGCTAGGTGGTGCAGTGAATAGAGTGCTAGGCCTAGAGTCATGAAGATCTGAATTCAACTCCAGTGTCAGATGCTGCCTAAGCTGTGTGACCTTAGGCAAGTCACTTTACCCTGTTTGCCTCAGTTTCCTCCTCTGTAAAATGAGCTGGAGAAGAAAATGGAAAATCAACTCCAGTATTTTTGCCAAGAAAACCCCAATGGAGTCACGAAGAGTTGGACATGACCGAAAAATGACTGAGCAACACCATCATATATAATAGATACATCTACGGATACAGGTATTTTATATGTGCAGTATCTATCTTCTTTATTTTTATGCCTCTCCCATTAGAACATAAACTCCTTGTGTGCAGGGATTCTTTTATCCTCGATACTTGTATGCCCAGGGCCTGGCACATAACTGATGCTTGAAAAAGGCTTGTTGGTTGATTGGAGACAGAGGAAAGTCTTGGGTCATAGATCCAGAGAAGGGACCTCAGAGGTGATTGAGCCCACCCTCTCATTTTACAGGTGAGGAAACTGAGGCCCATGAAGGTGAAACGATCTGTCCATGATCACACAGGTACTAAGTGATGGAGGAAGGGTTTGCTAGAATTCCGTGGTCTGGTCAAGCCAGCAGGAGGACTCAGTAATATGGCACCAGGCAGGCGGCATCCATGAGCAGGAGCACTAGCAGACTCATTCATCATATTAGGAGCTGGCATAACTCTGGGTTACTTAATTTATTATTAATAATAATAATAACAATAATACTAGGTCACATTTATGCAGCATTTTAATGTTTGCAAAGCACTTTATTTATGTTGCCTCATTTTATCCTTACAACGACCCTGTGAAGAGGGTGCCATTGTTATCCCTATTTTACCAAGAGGAAGCTGAGGCTGAGAGTGGTAAAGTGACCTGCCCAGGGTCACACAGCTAGTAAGTGAGGCAGGTTTAGAAAAAAGTTTTCTGACTAAGTTCTAAGCTCCAGCCATTGCACCACCTGGTCATCTCTACTGAGCTGTACACTGGGGGTCCGTGCTGGCCCCCGGAGAGGCTGAAATCTGGTAGTGCTGAGTCATCAAGTGTTTCCTCTCTGTAACGTTTCTGGCCCTGACCTTAGCAAGGCCAGGACAGAGGCAGATGGGGAGGGTCAAAGGTGCTCACTTACTTGGACGCCGCCTCTTCATCATATTTACACCGTAGGTCCAGTAGCTCCGTCTGCGTGGCCTTTAGCGCTGTCCATCAAGAAAAAAAGGGACACGGTGAGTCAGCAAACCCTCGAAGATGCCAGGGGAGGGGTGAAGAGAGGGGCCTGCCTAGCATGAGGCCAGCCTCTCATTCTTCCTCCAGGACACTTTCTGCTTTTGTCTTCCCAGTAGGCAGGATTGTAGATTCAGAACTGGAAGGGACCTTAGAAATCAATGAATGACCCACCCGCCCATTTTATGGATGAGGAAACTGAATCCCAGAGTGACTTGTCAAATGACTTGTCTGAGATAGGATTTGAACTCAGTTCTTCCAGGGTCCAAGGCCAAAGCTTTCTCCACTATGCTACCTAGCTGCCTCTGTGGAGGGCAAAGTCTTTTTGGAGGTGGCATTACCATAATCAGGAAGGCTGAAGGGCAGGGCCAAGAAGGTAACAGCTGATGCCAATATCATTAATGAGAGCATCACAGCACCTTGGGGCCACAGATTTAGAGCTGAAAGGGACCCCAAAGCCATCTGGCCCAGCCCCTTCCCCCACCCCCTAATATTAACCCCTAGCACCACAGTGCCGCTTCTCTATGTGGCTATCCATGGAGATGCCAGGCCTCTGGGCTAATATCAGACTGGTCCTTAAAGCGTGGCTGTAGAGCTGACCACTTAGATGGGACGGAGGACAAGTGAGCAGCTATGGGGAGTATGGTTACCTGGGAGGCTTGCTCTATTTATCTGGATTTGTGTCTCCCCATGTCGTGTGCGGCTCTAGAAAAAGCCTTGTGTATCAGGGCTGTGCTGAGAGCTGCCTGAGGTCTTAGGTGCCTAAGATCAGGGTCCACGGATGAGCTGGGCAATGACGCTGAATCACAGCTGCATCCTTTGACAACAGAGCCCTGCCCTACCCTCCTTCCTGGGTCAGTGGTCCTGAGTCCCTGACAAACAGGCTGAGGTACTCTGGGGGTGAAGGATAAGTGGAGAAGCATGGAAGCTTTGTCCTTTATGATGTCATCACGGAGGGTTATAGGCACAACCTTGGCTTCCTTAACATCCTTCATTTTCCTCAATCTTTCTATTGTGCACAGATTCCTCTAAATCCTTCTTGGACTTCCCCATATATTGGGCCTGTGGCATCTTTTAGAGGTAAAGAATCTCATGTTTGTTCACTTGGGGTATTCTGCAGAGCCCCTAAATCTGCCTCCTTGAATCTTCAGGAGTTCTTTCCTTCCACTTAAATAGGGATCTGGCGACCAAGGTTCCTGCTCCCCCCTTTTCAAACCCTCTATCATATCATAAGTGACTTTGGTCGAGTCACTCAAATCTCCATGGGCTTCAGTTTCCTCATCTATAAAACAAAGGGGTGAGAGTAGTTACCTCTGAGTTCACTCTTATCTCTGAATCTGGGAGCCTATTACTACTAATACCATTTGTGGTCCTGCTACCTGTGTGAGCTTGAGCAAGTCACTCACTGTTTCCAGACCTCAGTTTCTTGATCTGTAAAATGAGGGGGTTGGACTAGATGATCTCTGAAGCCCCTTCTAGTTTCAGAGTTATTATCATATGATCCTAACTCCCTCTGACCTTCATCTTTTTCAGTTGAAAAGTTATACATGTATATATTTATAGTCATGAGTATATAGATGTATGTATATACATATGGATACACACCCATCCATCCATCCAAAGATCAATTTAACCATCCATCCATCCATCCATCCATTCATCCAACCATCTCATCCATCTAACCATCTCATCCAACCATCTCATCCATCCATCCATCCATCCATCCATCCATCCATCCAACCATCCATCCATCCATCCAACCATCCATCCGTCTAACCATCTCATCCATCCATCCATCCATCCATCCATCCATCCATCCATCCAACCATCTCATCCATCTAACCATCTCATCCATCCATCCATCCATCCATCCATCCATCCATCCATCCATGTAGCCATTCATCGATCTATTCACACACACACTCACACACTTTTCTTAATAGGAAACCTCATCATTTTGCAGGATGGAATTGGCCTTGGTACTCACACTTCCTTGTAATGCACTTGCCCTCTAACTAGAAGGCACGGCCATGAACACCCGAACCTCCATCTAAGGAGGGGGCCCTGGAAAGCCATCCACTCCCTCATTTCCCAGATGGCTGCCCTAGTTCTAGACTTCTCTACTGTGTTCCCACCCAGATACCTTCCCAAACTTCCTCCCCTCCTACTTTTCAGCTTTCTTTTGTGTATTCTCTTCCTCCATTAGATTAGAAGCTCCTTGAGGGTGGAGACTCTTTCTTTTTTTGTGTTTGTATCCCCAGCACTTAGCACAGTGCCTTAGCACATGGTAGGCGTCCAGTAAACGTCCAGTAAACGTTTATTGACTGACTGAGTTTTCTCTGAGTTTAGGTGCTGGGCCAGCTTTTCTATATGTGGACCCGGAGTTGGGAAAGAGCAGAATAAGCTAAGCTCAAGCTACATCATTGAGGCTAAGCAGCTGGCATGGCAGACAGAGAGCTGTCCTCAAAGCCAGGAAGTCCTGGGTTCAAGTCCTGCTACATTCTGGCTATATGACTGTAAGCAAGTCATTTAAACTCTCAGAGCTCTAGATCAGTGAAGTCAAAGTCAAATAGAAATGGTGCCAGTAAACCAGTCATAAAGATCCCTGAGGGCTACATATTGACTTAGAAAACCACATACTAACATTATCTGCGCTCTTCTTTATTTTTATTTATTTTGTTAAATATTTCCCAACTGCATTTTAATCTGGTTCTGGCTGCACTTGGGAGTTCTGTGGGTCACCATGTGTTTGACCTCCCTGCCCTGAACAGCTCCTTAAGAGGAGAAGCTGCAGAGAAGGTGCACTCTCCACCTGCATTGGTGGAGAGACTTTCCTCCCCGGGAGTTCCCAATACCAATCAGATCACAGGTTCAGTTCCTATCTCCCATCTTGGTTGTATCATAAGAATGTACGTCTCAATTGGGAAGGCAGCAAGGGGCACAGTGGATGCAGAGTCAGCCTAGAAACCACAGATCTAGGGTTGAAAGGCAGTCATCTAGTCTTCATTTTACAGATGAGAAAACTGAGATTTAGAGAAAGATCATGGCATCACAGAACTAGATCTAAAAGGGACCCCAGAGACCATTTAGCATAAATGCCTTATTTTATGGATTGGGAAACTGAGGCACAGAGAGGTTCAGACTGACCCAAAGCCACTCATGTAGTAAACGGTACAGCTGGGATTTGAATAAATCCAGAGTTCTTCCCGCTGTATGGCATGGTGTCGCCCCATTTTCCATGAGAGCAGAAAACACTTTCCTTTGAGCACAGATGGGCTCCTGCCTTGCTTGGGATTAATCATTAGAAGTTTGTAGAAGAGTCATTTCCACTGGTGCCTTTATCAAGGAATCTTCTATTTGACCTAGACACAGGGAACCCCTTGTTGGAGAGGAGCCTTTAATATCAAGGGTACTAACCAGCATATGATTGGGTGTGTCATTTTATCCTCATAACAATCTGGGAGGGAGGTGGTGCTATTATTATGCTCATTTTACAGATAGGCAAATTGAGGCTGAAGGAGGGTGAGTGAGTTGTCCAGGATCACAGAGCTAGTAAGTATTTGACCCCCTGACCCCAGGTCTATCCGTTTCACCACTTTGCCAGCTTAAGAGAGGCATTTTGACTATGCCCAGTCCAATGCTTGGGTTAAACCTCTCCTTTGGCACAGGCTAGCTGAGTGACCCTTGGGTAAGTCACTCTCTTTGTCACCAGGCATTGCCCTAAGACTACAGATTACAGAAGAATTACCCATCTGCATTGGGAGAGGGAATTTCTTTGCTGGGAGTCCCTTGTATCAATGAAATCACAGGTCCAACAAAAATGATATTCTATACATGTAGAGAAAAGTAACATGGGGGAGAGAGCTGCCCATGGAGTCAGGAGTCAGGAGAGAGCTAGGCTGAAGTCCTTCCTGCCTCTGACCCATGCTGGCTCCTCTGGAAGACTGAGAGGTACTGAGGGGTGGCTAGTCTGTGTCCACGGAGGGTGTTCCCACACCTAGAGTCCCCCACACTGCAGAATCCCAGGTATGGACACATTTTTATTTTTTTTCTACATGGTCCCAGCTTTGGAACTCCAGCTCACTCCTCCAGCCCAGGGGCCTGGGGTCTGAATGGGGACCTTGATGTGAACTCTTCGAGTACCTGAATGTAGAATCTTGATCTTTTCTTCTGCTTCCCCCAGTCTAGCGGCCAAAGTGATTTGTGCTTCCTGTAGGCCCCTGTGGAGAGACCAGTCCTGGTTCAGATCGGTTTGAGCTACCCAGGGCCAAGGTCACCGTACAGGCCAGTGGTCACCTTGCCTCTGACATTGCACCTAAATTGGCCTCTTTGAGAATTTTCACCCACTGCTTCCTGTTTGGCCCCTGGGGGCCAAATCCTTTCTCCACACGACAGACCTTTACATTTTGGACGACAGCTAACATGGCCCCCCAAGACCTCTCTTCTCCACACTAAACATTCCCAGTTCCTTCAAATGAATTAAATAATAACAATAATGATCATGAATAATTAATTCATTATAATAATGACCATTAGGAATTATTTTATTAATGATATTAATAATTAATAATAATAACCAATGAAAATCAATAATAATGATGATGTCATCTATACTGGGCTTTAAGGTATTTGAAAAGTACTTCATATATAATATGTAATTACACATAAATTGAATGTTATATAAAATATTATTATATAACCATGATTTAGAAATACATAAAATATACAAATGTCACATTTGTGTATATTATCTCATTTGATCCTCCCAATCCTGTGAAGTAGGTAGCATTGTTAACCTGATTTTATAGTTTGGTAAACTGAGATTGAGAGAGGAAGGCAGGGAAGGCACATTTATTAAGTGCTTATTCTATGCCTGGTTCATTTGATCCTCACAACAGCCCTGCCAGGCAGGTGCTATTATTATCCTCACTTTACAGATGAGGAACTCTGGGTAAATGGAGGTCAAGTAACTTGCTCCAGGTCATACAGCTATTAATTGTCTGAGGCAGGATTTGAACCCAGGTCTTCCTGACTCTAAGCAAAGCCCTCTCTCTGCTGTACCAGCTTACAAAGAGATACTGACCTTATTATCCTGGTTGTTCATCCTCCACTCCCTAAATTGTGTTGTCCAGACCTGAACCAACATTCTAGAGGTGGTCTGCCTAAGTTAGGGGACAGTGGGGCCAACAACATCTCTTTATTCCCCAGAAGCTATGTGCCCCTTAACAATAAGCCCCTCTCTCTGCCCCTCTGCTCTGAAAAAGGGCAGGGGCTCTGTGAGGCTCCCACGAGCTTCTGGATGCCCTCGGGGAGAGAAGACTCCCTGCCGGGCCTCAGGCACTGCCTGTCCCTGGCTGGCAACTTTGCCACCCTCCACCTCATTTCCATCGGTTTGCTCTGTTACCTTTTTACTGCATACTTAAGACTATAATTCAGAAGTTATGCTACCAAATTTATGTGCTTATTATGGGCCCACCATTCGGGATGCCCCAGTTAAGGTGCTGTCAGCATTTCCATTATAAACCTCTATATCTCTGGGTTTATAGCCCTGACTATAAAAACCTCTCTCTAGGCTGGAGTTGGGCACCTTGGAGCTCAGCCCAGAAGAAAATATCTCCGTAAAACTTGTGCTGGAAAGAGAGAGGGAGGGAGGGAAGAAGGGAGGAAAGGAGAGAGAGAGAGAGACAGACAGACAGAGACACACAGAGACAGAGAGAGAAAGAGACAGAGAAAGAAGGAAGAAGGGAGGGAAGGAGAAACAGAGGGACAAATAGGGGGAGAGACAGAGAGTGACAGAGAGGGAGGGGGGAGAGAGAGGGAGGGGGGAGAGAGAGAGACAGAGAGAGAGAGGGAGAGACAGAGAGAGAGACAGAGGAAAGAAGGGAGGGAGGGAGTAACAGAGGGACAGATGGGGGAGAGACAGGGAGAGAGAGAGAGAGAGAGAGAGAGAGAGAGAGAGAGAGAGAGAGAGAGAGAGAGAGAGATGGGGAGAGAGAGGGAAGAAGGGAGGGAGGGAGAAACAGAGGGACAGATAGAGGAGAGGGAGAGGAGAGGGAGGGAGAGGGGAGGAAGGAAAGAGGGAGAGAGGGAGACAGAGAAGAGAAGAGGAGAGGAGAGGAGAGGAGGGAGAGAGAGAGAAGCAGAGAGAAAAATAGAGAGACTGAAGTGGGGAGGGAGGGAGAGACAGAGAGACAGAGACAGACAGAGAGCTGAGAGATAGACAGACAGACAACAGGCAGAGTGCCAGGGCCAGAGGATCCTGGGGTGATTCTGGAGTCCGACGAGCACAGATCCAATTGGGCCAGGCTGATAACAGGGTTCTTAAGTAGCTGGCAGATTTCTCACTGGCTGAAAAGAGCAATCCACCACTGTCTCATGTGAAAGTCCTCTGGTGAGCAGCTGGTTTCTTTACCCAAGGAGGACAGGGCTTGAAGTACAGAGCAGCTGAGGTGGTGCATGTGGCTGGAGTGCTGGGCTTGGGATCAGGAAAGACCTGAGTTCAAATGCCGCCTCAGATACAAACCAGCTGTGTGCCTCCGGGTACACCATTTAATCTCTCTCAGCCTCAGTTTCTCATTGTAAAATGGGGATTATAACAGCACCTACTTCACGGGGTTCTTATGAAGGTAGGATGAGATGCAATACACAGAGCACTATGTAAGGCTTAGGATGAGACACACACATTTGCTATTACAGTTACTACAGGGAGAAGGAGAGTCTAAGACACTTTCCAGGGGCTTATAAAGGCCAGGATCTGATAAGGTGCCTGTGGCTGGGGGCCCCGAGTGTCCAAGGGAGATGGACTAGAAGGAGAAAAGAGGACTTCATTGTAACTTTGGTGCTTAGTACAGGGCACACAATAGGTGCTTAATAAATGATCACTCATGGCCAGAGAATGGGACTGGCCTTTGTTCTTCCTGAGGGCAGTACCAGGAGCAGCCTCTCTGCATTTTGGGTGCAGGTGGAGAAATCCTTCTTAACCAGCAGAGCTGCATAGAAGTGCAGGGGGAGGGGCTCGAGAGACAGCAGGATCCCCCTCACTATCCTCCCTCTCATCAAGGGAAGGCTGGAGGAGCCCTGGTTCCGAATAGAAAAGTCTGGTTCAGTTATGGCTTGGGCCACCGAGGTCCCTTCCAACTTTTGGATTCCATAATCATAGAATATTAGTGTAGAAAGGGACCTGAGGGACTGTCCTTTATATTTCCATTCCTAGCTCTTGGTACAGTGCTTGGCATACAGTAAGCACTTAATAAATGCTCATTCATTCCTCTAGTGGTTCTAAAAATGTGGTTCACAGACCCTTGGAGGGCCTTCCCCAAGACCCTTTCCGGGGTCTTTGAAGTCAAAATTATTTTCATCGTAATAGTAAGATGCTTCAATTTCTGACATGGTAAATATCAACAGATATAAACCACACACACAAAAGCTCTTTGTTGGGGGTCCTCGATAATTTCTAGATGTGTAAAGGAGTCTCGAGACTGAAAACTTTGGAAGTATTGATTTAGATCTAGACTAAATCTCTTATTTACAGAGAAGGGAGGAAACCAGCTTTAGTATCAGAAAATATGGATTCATTCTGCCATGTTACTGGCTTGTTGGCCCCGGACAAATCATTTAACCTGTCTGTGCCTCCATTTCCTCAGTTGGTAAAAGTGGGAAGGGATGACAATGGCAATTTCTACAGTCAAGTAACAAAGGGCTTTCTTCATACATGGAAGCCCAAGCAAGACTTAACCCATTTTACATATGAGGAACAGAGAAGTTAACTCATTTGCCCAGAGTCACACAGCTGGTCACGTAGGAGCTAGGATTTGAACTAGGCTCATCTGACTTCAAGACTTTTAATTCTCTCTCTCTCTCTCTCTCTCCCGCCCCTCTTTTCTTTTCCTTCCTTTCTTTCTTATTCTTTCCTTCCTTTATATTTTATCCTTACAATAACCCTGAGAGTTGGGTACTATTATTATCCCCATTTTACAGACAAGAGAACTGAGGCTGAGAGCAATTGACTTCCTCAGGGTTACATAAGTTACTAAGTATCTGTGGTGGGATTTGAACTCGGATCTTTCTGATGCCAGGCCCACGCTCTTAACCACTGTGCCTCCTAGCTGACTCTATAACATCCCTGACAAATGGTCAGGCAGCCTTGAATTAACGTCCTCCAGCAATGGAGAAGCCATCTTCTTTCAAGGCAGCCCATTCCAGCTTTGATTGTTGGGGACTTATGTCTGACACAGAGGCTCAATCTGCCTCTCTTCAGCTTCTATCCATCACCCCTAGTTCTGCCTCTGGGGCCAAAGGGAACAGGTCTGGGGCTGTTTCATTAAGAGAGGCATCATGGGTTTGCCCCAGTAGGTCAGATGTGGAGTAGGAATATTGTGTTCCCTTCTGAGGGAACACAATTGCTATGACTATGACTGCTACTATAACTACTGCTGCTAACATTTTCTATATGCTAAGTACTACAATAATAATAATAATAATGTTGTTGTTCAGTCTCTCCATGACCCCATTTGGGGTTTTCTTGGCAAAGATACTGGAGTGGTTTGCCATTTTCTTCTCCAGCTCATTTTACAGATAAGGAAACTGAGGCAAACAAGGTTAAGTGACTAGCCAACATTTATATAGTGCTTACTAGGTGCCAGGCAATTTGATCCTTACAACAGTTCTAGAAGGTAGGTATTATTATGATTCCTACTTTTCAGCTGAGGAAACTGAAACAGAGGTTAAGTGACTCGGCCAGGGTCACACAGCTAGTTAGTAGCTGAGGCTGGATTTGAACTCAGGTCTTATTTTAAAAAAATAAAAAATATATCATTTTAAAAATTCTTTTTTTCATTTATTTGTTTTTAATTTTGAGTTCCAAATTCTCTCCCCCCCTCCTGCCCCTCCTCCACCCATTGAGAAGGCAAGAAATGTGATATCAATTATACATGCAAAATCATGCAAAACATATTTCCAAATTAGCAATGTTGCAAAAATAAACCCAAGAAAAATAAAGAAATTTGGAAAAAATTATGCTTCACTCAGCCTCCACCAATTCTCTCTCTGGATGTGGGTAGCGTTTCTCATCATGAGTCTTCTGGAATTGTCTTAGATCACTGTATTGATCAGGGTAGCTAAGTCTTTCCCAGTTGATCATCCTTACAATGTTGCTGTTGCTGTGTACAACGTTCTCTTGGTTCTATTCACTTCACTTTGCATCAGTTCACATCAGCCTTCCCAGGTTTTTATAAAACCATCTCCTTCATCATTTCTTATAACACAATAGCATTCCATCACAATCATAGACTACAACTTGTTCTGCAGTTCTTCAGTTGATGGGCATCCCCTCGGTTTTCAATTCTTTGCTACCACAAAAAGAGCTACTATAAATATTTTTGTACAAATAGGTCTTTTTCTGTTTTCTTTGATTTCTTTGGGATACAGACCATAGTGGTATTGCTGAA